GAGATTGATCTTTTATTAGAAAGAAAGCACTCTGACTTCAAACACTACTGATAACTCAGTGAGCAAAGTATCTGCTTTCAAGCAGAAATATCATCCACCACCAAATGCTCTCAATCACTAATATAAACTAGGAAACTTGGGAGATGCAAGGAAAAAGAAGTTAAATGGTGCATCCTGCCCACTTACACTTTCTGTACAGAGAAACCATGCACCTCAAGTGAACAAATACTCTGCAGACCCAGCCTGAGATAAAAGTGCTCCTGCTTGATTATGCACAGATACACAACAATGAATCAAAGAAAAGCTGCCTACCCAGAACCAGAACCTTTAAGAGATGCCATCGGTATGTGAATTCACACTGCAGACATACGCTGCATTGTCACTTGAGATTGAAGAACTTCTTGTCCTTTGCAGCATCCTCCACTGGGCAAGCAGACAAGGAAGAAGAAGATATGAAGACTCTGTAACTAAGAGGAGTCAAATAACTTGTAAGCTATCCACTAACTTCCTTTCATTTCTGTTCTCCATTTATACCTAAAAATTACACTATGGGTCAATTAAAGGAGTGATTTCTCTTCCTCCCAAACTACACGGCAGACGGTCTCAAAGTCCAACAAGCAAACCAACAAACTGCTCTACCAAATGCTACACCAATCATCAAGACCTCAAATACTGCACATTGCCTGTGACAGCATGGCCAGAACTCCAGGAAGCAACACTGCAATCAACAGAATACAGTTATTTTCCAAATGGTGACAACACAATTGCTCAGGCTCTTGGAATGCAACCTGATCAGTTCAGGAAAACTGGAACTGATTAATTGAAAGGTGTCAGAGTATCTTTCGGCAGGTCACAGCTCTGGTAACAGGATGACCATCTCAGCAGACGCTATGTTCAGCTGTTCGATCAGCATTATGGATTCACTAAAAAAACATCTAGAAGGTTATTCTGAAGGCTAGTGCCTCAGAAAGAAAAGAAAGTTTGGACAGGAAATCTAAGAGAGTTAACTGCTTATCAAAGATCTTGAATTCCTATCAAGTAATTAATGACTAAACATCCCAGTAACAAAAAAGAAAAAGCATACTTCCTCAGTTTATGAGTATATTTAATCTCCCAGTCCTTCAATCTAGAAGTTTTAACCTATGCTGATGCAGCAGTAACTGCTACAAAAGGAGTCAGCTAAGTGTACAGGGAGTCCACAGACTAATATTTTCTACCTATTCTCATGACTGCAACCAGGAACTTCTACAGCAGCCTCACTAACGGCTAGAATTGATTGAGTGTCAGCTTATGTGACAATTCTACCATCATACAGATGACAATGCAGGAACTTCCTTCAGAAGTCAGGAAGTCCATTCACCTTCCCGAAGAACAGGTCTAATATTGAAACAACCTGTCACGGTGTTGCTTCAGGAAGGAAGCTTGTGACGGGCAACTTCTGAAATAGAGTATCTGTCCCCTTAGCTCATCATGGCTGAGGCTCCCCAGCAAAAGCCTGGATAAAACGTAGCACTAGCTGGTATAAGTTAGTTTCCAGAAGTATATAAAAGAGGAAAGGCTGTTTGGACTACAAGTTTATTTCCCTTCACATCCAATAGATGTCAAATACTGGGCACTGAGAGACTATAAAACTGCTCGTGTCCGGAGGAATGACAAGAAACAAAGAGTATGACTGAACTAAGAAGGGCTTGACGAGGTGCTTGTGGAAGCATTGTAAAGGTTTAAGGGCATAAGAACTGGAGAGAAGTCAATGACACATCCATTGGAAGACAACATTGCCTGTGCTGATGGAGGAGCTGAAATACTTTCAGCGCTGAGAGAGTGTTCAAGGCAAGTAATCGGACATGCAACTTAAGATGGTTGTGAGTCACCTGGCAAGTAAACCTTTTAAACCAAGGTTCTACAGGCAACAGCGACTCTTCTAGGCAACTGGTTTTCCAAAGAAAGACTAGACACCTTTTTGGAAAGCATGCTTTAAATCCAACAACTGTTAGCCACAGTGCAATACTCTTCCACAGCTCCTGCAGGCTCAGCCGTTTGACACTGGCGAGTCAGCATTCGGGCAGCCTAGTGGGGAGGTGAGAGGCCACTGCCGAACCTAAATTAGGGGGAAAGAAACGTCTGTTGCAAGGCTACTTCCAAATTAGTCCTTGGAGAGCTCACAGTGCCAACAGCCAGAAGCACTCGCAGGTCAGGACACACAAACCACACTTCAAATCTCCCATCCCACTTCCCTGTTCCACTGTTTTTTCCAGGAGTTAACTGGTTGAGCATGTTTCCACCTCTCAGCATACTAATGTCTGCAGGTGAGCTGGTATCCAGTTGGTAAATCCCTATGTGCCTTCTAAGAAAAACGTCTCCTACATCTCCACAATCTTTGTGTGGAGTTCAGGACCACCATTCACAAGGTCCTATTACAAAAACCATTAACCTCCAATGCACAAAAAAAACCAAACAAACCCACCACACTAAGATCATAAACCAGGATCCTTCTCTTCCTTAGTATGTGCCCCTTTACACAATTATGATTCCAATATTAGTCTAATTCATCACAGTATACACTGAAAACTCTCACTTTCTAAAAGTCTTGCTAGAAAAATATGTTTTCATGTTCATTAAATTACACCAGCCCAAAATCAGCCACTGTCGTTGGTTTAACAATAAAACTTAAGTTGCATATTGATGAAAGAAAGAACCGAAGCTCTTTACCACCCTAGAAAACATGAAAGCAAGATGTTTCTCTACAAGCCACTACCTGATCATTTTCCTGTGGAACCCATAAAAAAGTGCTATTTTATACTTCTATGAATTCTTCTACCACTATAATTTCATGGCAAGAACTCAAAATTAATTGTACCAAAACAGTTACTCTATTAAATAAAAGGAGATTTTTTTTCACTTGCAATACATTGTGTTCTATTTCAAGCCCAGTTTTCCATCTATAACTTACCCCTAGTCGTGGCAGAATAAAATTCCAGCTTTTATGACAGAAGACTTTTTTTGATCAATAGAAGTCAGCAGCAAAAGCATTTGTGGTTTTTCTCTGGAAAGCATTTGTGGCCACAGACTCAAAGGAGGAAGAAAGGGAGGGGGATTAACTCTTCAATGAAGGTCAAAAACATAATTTAAAAAGTGAACCAAGAAGAGCAGCTGTGTCTGTCAGCGCAATCAAGATTACCAGCTGGAGAATTTACCAGCAGTATGAAAACAATGCACACCAGATGTCAAATGTTGCAACTGTGAGTAGGAAAACATTTCTGGGCATGGCACTGTCATGCTAGTTACCAGACAGACTTCATATTTAGCATTTATTTATTAATTAGACAGACACTACCAGGAAGAAACAATAATATTTCCTTAAAAATAGCTTTTGAGCTTGTCGTGTAAGCCAGAGGCAGGTGTGTGCACTGCAATAATTTAACATTGCACATGCTAATAATCCTCCTTATTCCACTGTGAACACAATATAGTAACTTTTAAACTAACTAGCAAATACTAGAACATCTGCAGCTGAGCTTGCTTTAGCTTCACTCAATTCAGTCTGTGCTTTTTGGATTCTTTTCTAACAAATCTAAAATAAATATTAAGGAAACAATTTAAACCACACCCTGTTTCATGGATAATCAACTGGAAAGAACTCTACATAAGCCATGGAAGTGAGTACTTCAGTAACACCTCTACCAGCGTTTCCTTCCCCAGCTGCTTTTATCTTCCTCCTCTTTCCAGGGTACTTTTTTTTTCTCCCTATACATTTTACTCCTTGAGTATGAGCTTATTCATTCCCAATGCTTCAACCACCATTCTTGCTGTTTAAAATATCTGATGTCAACTTCCTTTTTTTGTACGTTCTTTTGTTACCTCACTCATGTCCTCCTTTGTATTTATCTCTCAAATGAAATGGGAGGGGGAGAAGATAGAGCAAGATTTGGGTTTTGTAATCCTCTTCAGTGTTGATGACTCAACTTCCCTCAGCAGATCCACAAGCAGACATTTCTGCAGAGAGCCAGCAAATCCAGGCCCTTAAATTCTTTCCTTTTCCAGCCTTTAAAATTCACTCTTTTATAAATTCTACCGTGAAAACGCTGGGTGTCTTTCTTGCCATTATCTGTCAGTGTAAACTTCCTGGCTGTCATCTCCTTCCCTAACACATGCAAACATTCCATTAAACACCTCCCCCATGAGTTTAACTGTAAAACGGAGCCGCCTTCTTATTCTAGCTCTTACCCTCACTTTTGCCACTTCCTTCCAGTTCTGATTGTTCACTCTCAGTCTTGAATAGTGATGACTGTACATTTATAAGAGGCTACAGAAATAACTGTGTCTCTGCTTGCAGTTTCTCCTATGTTCATTTTCATTGGTCCAAACACCTCTCCTAAATGGTCTTGTTGCTGCATGGCAAAACTTGCCTTTTTGGCCTTTCAAAGCAATATTCCAAAGAGTAGGTGGCCCTCATGCTCTTGGTTAATCTCCACTATTTCACATTAAGGATTTTTCCAATTTCTACTGCTAAACTCAATGTTAGAATACTATTTCTCTCATTTCAGGAAGAAAAAAATATAGACTCCAAGAGCCCCCAAAAACCTAGGGATGTTAATAACCAACTCTTCTAGAAATTACTTCGAAGTTTATTTTATTTTATTATCTCTCCCTCCTTCCTTGGTGCAAATGCTTTATCTGAAGGAAGTCAAGTCCATACAAAAATACCATGCCACCCTAAATAGACAGTATAACTGAATCAAGCTAAAGTTATTCAAATACAATTATTGTCAGCAGAGGAAATGCAAATGTGTTTGTGGCACATTTTCCTGACATAATACATGTGTAGGTTTGTTAACTATTGCAGTTAAAAAAATGGAACTAGAAATCCCCACTCAACAGATACATTTAACTTAGTATTTCCCTTCTCTGAAATTTTTTACATATTTTATTATCATAATTTCACATTCTCCTCAGCTTCTGTACTCATTCTACTGTATTACAACCCACTCTTCACGGCTTACCTTTGCTTTGCCATCCTGTGCAGACATATATCCTACACACATGCTCTCTGTTGTATGGCTCCACAGAAATTCCACTATAAAGGAAAATGCAAGAAGTTACAAATAATGCATTGGTTTAAAATCTTGAGAAACGAATATACCTTAGAATAGAGTTTGGGAAAGGACAAAAGCTAACCTTTAAGAACAAAAGCTACTTACCAGAATAATTCAATCTCAAAAGAAACAACTATTAAAGAAACAAGATTTTCCTGCACTATTTGCAATCACACACTGCAGAACGAATACCCCAAAGGAGACACACTGCAATGATACGAAGCCTCCAAGATGAGAAATACGTCAACTGCGACTACAGTTAAAAAATATGACCAACTTTTCAAGCAGGGGCCTGTTGCTTGTATAAAGTTAGAATCAGATATAACTTGAATTTGCTTGTCTTGAACCCAGATATAAGCACACTGCAACAACATAACCCAAATGATATGCAAGGATTCTGTAGAATCGTAACATGAGCAACAGAATAACTGATAACAAGCGTTTTTTCCACAGAACTGAGCGTAAGTATATTCATAATGTGTAACTATTGATGAGTAAATGAAACTTTGTGGTTTAGCTGCACAAGTAGGACACAGGAAAACATGCAGAAGTAGTAAAGTCTGCAAGATGAGAAATGAAGATACAGAGCAGGCAGGAAGGACATCTGGTGAAAACAAAATGATCCTACAGAAAAAACAGGAGAGACATCCGATAGAAGCAGAACAGCATTACACAACAGGCAAGAAAGAAGCCTGGCAAAATCAAGGTGAAACCTAGTCCCAAAAGTAAGTTGAATTCCATCAAGAACATATGCAGTCACTCCTGTTCTTTGAAGAGAGGGTAAAGAGCACCCAAGGTAAGAGAGGAAAGATGGAGAAGAAACGGGCCCATTTTGATTTTGGCTGCCCTATCAAAGCACTCTCAGGTCTGATCTTGACTTCTAGCAGTAGCTGTACAGCATCAGCTCTCTCGTACTGCATACTCACAGCTCATTTAGGATGTAAGTGTTAAATACCAACTGCTGTGTCTGCAGTGACAATGATTAAGAAAATGAACCATTGCTAAATACATGGTAATTAATCCGGTAAGGTGTTTTGAAGTCTGAAAGTGGCCCGATTCACCAATTGTTTTAACAGCCCATTACAGCGATCTTCAGTTCCCCGACACACACACAGGTATCTTTATATGTACACATGCACACTCCTACTCCGCTGCAACAAAAAATCCACAAAGAGCATATTATTCCTGTGTTCAGCTCCCATCCAGCGGGGCTTTATAAACTGCCACACTCTATTCGTCCTGCTCTATGTCACAGCCACTTTTCTTCATGTCCATTAAGTACATAATTTGGAAGGGGGAAAAAGAAAGAGTAAATGATCAGAATTCAGGGTGTCTCACAGAATACGGTAAAAAGCTTAAAAAAAGTGCACTGAAATATAATTTTTTCCTTTGGATTACAGGAGGAGTCTTACACAGATTACACAACATGCCACGAGAAGCTTTTTCCAGATATCTCTTTAGAGAGAGACTTTCACATACTGCAGAAAGCATCATTAGATGCTTTTAAAACTCTTACTCATTTGTAAACCTCGTGTTCCTTTAACAGGGCTGATGACGGTCACAGCATGCTGAGTCTGCTTAGCCTTTGAACCATTATCCTTGCATAGCAACTAACCCAGAGTAGGAGATCAAAGTTTAGACAATCCCAGCAAGACCTGAAGATTCTGAGAGATATGTAGATACCATCATAAAAGAAAAATTAACTTCATTTAGGTATGCGCTTTGCTCCCCCCTAATAGATTCACAACTCATATTGCCAAAGGTGAGTCTAAAGCTTTCAGACAGCGAAACGGCGTTCAGTGAGGCCAACCTCTCCCTAACACCCTAAAGGTTCAACTGAAGACAAATTCAATCTTACCTTTCAATTTTGACAAGTTTGGCAACAGTTCAACCCAAATACCCTCAAATTTTATTTTCTTTTTGCCTTTGGTAACTCTGGGCACATTTTTTTTAAGTTTCTAATAATTTTTTTCCTTCTACACTGCCCACCAAAAGTAACATGTACTAGTCTGAAACATGGTTATTGTTAGCTATTATAAGTAGTGCAATTATAATGAAAATCCTAAATTTTATACTTCTATGAAGACATTCCACATTTTCAACCATTTAATAAATCACTTCCTTGCAATTTGTTTCAACAGTTAGAAATAAGAATAAAAATCACCTCTGCAACAAAGACATGAGATTTCATTATTCTATACACCAAGCTCTTCAGTATTACACAATATATTTTCAGTCCAAACAACACAAATACTACATGTGTTTATACATTAACTCAGCATACACTGTAAGCCAGAAAATTTCTGTGGTACATCAAAAATATCTTTAGCACAAGCTGTGCTACATGAATGTTATTTCAGTGGAAAAAAAAACAACAAAGAATCAATGGATAAGTACTCCATATACAGGGATTTTCTTTATTAATTTTTGAGGAAAAAATACCAAACCTTCCTTATTAGGAACAGGTTTTCTAACATGAGTGACTAACATTAAATGAATAGAAATATTTCCCTCACATAAGAAACTGAAGGTTAACTTTGTTTTTACTTAATGAAACTTGTACTTTCATTTTCTTATCTCTTTTTTCGGGATAAAATTTATGATGTAGAAGGTGTTTCCACTAGATCAATAATGTCACAATTATTCCATTCTTAAATCTGAAAACTGTAAATCAAACTCGCAGCATTCTCCGTATGTTTAGCAGCCCATGCTCTGACTCTCAAGCCAGGGACAGACACTCTTGGCTTTCAAATAGTTGAAAGATAAGAAGATGAATGTCAAAGCGTACTAGATAGCCTACTTTGAAAAGACAAGCTATTCAAGTAATAACTCAAAATAGTATAACATACAAAAGCTATTTCTAAAACCTTTTCCCATTCAAGCCTTCCAAAATTCTCTGGAATCCATCAGGACAACCTGAAAATCATCAGAACTATAAGGATTCACCTCCCAGATCTCTGGTTCTTTATAACAGCAAAATAAACATACATGAAACTCTTATGGACGAGTTGCGGTGTTGACCAAAAGCATAAAACACAGGTGAACATCAACTGTTGTGTAGAAAAACACAAATGTTATTACAGGTATCGAGCAAAATTACTTACTAGAGTGAATGACTGCAGGGGGGGTATGATCCAACTCAAGTCGACCAACACAAAGTAGTATATGGTATTTAAAGTTTCTTGTAATGCAAAGCAGCAAGGTATAATATGACAACAAAACTAAAGATAACATACACCTCACCCTGTGCGACTGTAAGAACTTGACCCTAGCATCCTGGAAGTCACCTAACAGACACCAACAAATACTGGATTTTGCGTGGGTCAACCCATCATTAAGAACATATCTGCCAGCTCGCCTTCAGCACACGCTCTGCCTGCCACTCCAGGCTGTACGCAGGCAAACTGTGGTGACACAGAAGACTTAGCGGGAGAAAAGTAGTAATGAATTAAAACAAAAGTATCTTTCTAAACAGTATCTTACAGACTAAAAAGAAATTAGGCAATTCAAGAATTGCCAGGTGAGATGCTATGACCTGCCTTAATACACAGCGTTAAGCTGGCTGATCGAATTTGTCGTGTCAGATCTTAAATGGTATGAAAGCTACTTCAAAACTGTAATGCTACTGACAGTGATTCATGAAGCGTTTGGGGAGACAATAATGAAGCAGAGGATTATACAAAGGAAAAAGCCTTGAATTCTGGTAGCATATCCCAGATCCATGTTAGACAGGTCCATGTGACCCAACAGGCAGGCACACAGCACGACCAGACCCACATCCCCACATCTGAGGAGCACCACAGCAAAGCAGACGCTACAAGTGTCACGTCGAGGTAATTCATATGCCCCCTTCCCAAACCTCTGCCTTCAAGAGGAACATGGGCTTCACAGTCTCTGGGTTGTACCTCCTCCCACCTCTGCTAGCAGCGCACAGCGTTTGGTTTCCTAGCTGCTTTTCTACAACAAACCACAGGACAGTTTACTATTGTACATGTGTTCCACTGTAAAACTGTGAGACAGATGAGGATCTCCTTCCTAGGACACCAGCCTGAAGGGCTGTAAAGCTCACAGTCAGCTACTGATCGAGGCAAAGGACAGTTTTCTGCTGAATTCAACATGAACAGCAACTACTCCTGTTGTCTGCATATATGCAAATAGCAACTGTGACTTGTCTGAGCAGATTTTCCTGGGCACAACATAAAATTTCTAACTAGAAAACAACTTCCCTTCCAAATTTCAAGTGTATCCTCTAAATTCTCACATTTTGTCCTGCAAAAAGGAGAAATGGATAATTTTTTGGACAGTATTTTTAGCACATAAACCACTGAGGAGCAGTAAACAGTCATATGCGTTACCCCTAGTTAAAAGTGCAATTTTTTCTATGAGGAACATATCCTGCTTTGCCACAAGCAACCATTATTCCTATGCTATAGTTTTAGAAGGAACTCGTACAATCCTCTGAATCACAAATCTGCTTAGAAATAATAAATCAGAAAGAACATTCTTTTCCACAGTTTCAGAGAACAAACAAGGCTCACACTCCTATTTCGATTTCTGGACTTCGATCATCTCAAACAATTCCAATTCCTTTTTGTTTTCTCCACAGCCTTTGAGCAATGGTAAACCCACACACACCATTTTTATTTCATCTTTCACTTTGAATCAGCACTTAGCTCAAGTAAAAACGAATAAGAATTTCTCACCTAATAAAGTTGGTTTTTCCTGTGATGATTCAGGCTCTGCTGAACACCTGCAAGACCGAAGAACTATCACACCTCCGAGGACACCGTCTTCATTGGCTAGAAAAGGTGAACCTGGGTGAAATAATTGGGAAGAATTATTTTAATCTTGCCACTACGGCTAAAAATGACTGTCAGGCCAAGCAGTGCTTTTAACAAAAGCATCAGTTTTGGTTTTTTCTAGTGTGTCTAATAAGTAACATTCTAAATAGAAATCCACTAATCTACCAGTAACAAAAAAAAGGAGAGAGAGCTACATAGAATAAAGAAAACATATCAGAAGTTGCATTTGTGAGTGCAAGGACGACACAGTAATGAAAACTGGAGTATCAGGTTGGAAACAATAATATCTCGAAATTTAGTTCTTTCTGCACTATAATTAAAGATGGCCACATATGAAAAAAATCAAGTGAATTTGGGTCACTTTTACAGTTTATTAATTTTTTCCCAATTTAAAGCACTTTGTATAGAGACATCAAACTGCTGTAGACTGTCTTCCTTGCTGTTTTATGAATATTAGCAGAAAAGCCAAAACACATCCTACTTTTTAGAGCAGCTTTTCTGCTGTTAATTTAAGACATATGATATAAAATGTCTTCTATCAGAAGCTGGAAAAGGTTTAAAGCTAGCTGAATCAAGACTAAGTATTCTTTTTGTGGTTTGTAATTTGAAATAAGATTCCTACAGTTTTAAATGTGGAAACAATGGTATGACTTACATATGATTTAAAACGTCTTGAGCCACAAAATTAACCAAGTTCTTGCACTTGCAAGTTCTTGCTCAAAGAGACACTAGTCATACTTCTGCGATACACTGTGATTTCAAGTTGAACATAGAGTTGCAACAGTCATTTCCTATCTTTGTTTTCAATGTTTTTCTTTTAAATAAATTGGTATAAGTCTAGCTTACAGACACTCTAAAATGATCTGGTGGCCACAAGACCTTCAGACCATATCTACTCATCAGCCTCCTTCAACTTGCGCCCAGCTATTTGTATGATTAAAATCACTCCTTTAACGCAAACAACAACAACAAAAAACAATAATGACCAATTTTAAGCTTTACTGTAAGGAAAACTTTACCTCTTGATATTAAGAGAAGCCACATTCAAAAGCGATATAAGGTGGTCATTACAAAAGAAGCTCATATTGCAGGAAAATAATAAATGTGATGTGCTTAATAAACAGTAATATCTTATTCGATCTAACAGAAACAGATACTATCATCAAAGCACCACTTGCTTTGTACAGGAGCTATTACTAGTTACCAATTACACCTACAGTATTACTCAGTGACAGTGACCAAATCCCTGCGAACCAAGAATCCAGCCGATCATAACATAATAGACAACAAAACAGGAAAATAAGTTGGGTTAAAATAGAAACGCAAGGCTTGTGACCCAAATCAAAACTTTGCACTTAGCACCCTGGGATGCGTGGAGCAAGTCTCATATTCTTTCACCGCATTAACCAAGTGTGGGCTAAGCATGTGGTATGATGTCTGCAAGCAAATGAACAAAAAATACCAACGGCTTTCTTCATAGATGATGTGCATCCTTTAATCTTTACTTCAGAAACTCAGGTACTTCAAAGACAATGTCTTCACCTGAACTTGGGTCACCTAATCTTATACTCAACTGCATAAATTATTCAGACCATAAGCTACACTATGGTGAAAAGTCAGTGCAAATAGAACAAACTTTGGTTTTTTAATAAGCAGTATTTCTCCTCCTCTCTCAAGGTTCTTTCAAGGTTCTAGTGAAAATACTCCAGAAGCAGAATGAACAAAAATGTCCTACTTCAGCAGAACACAGCCAGCAAACAGTGTTTAATTTGGATACCATATTTAAGGCCACAAAAAACACTAAGACACAAATCCAGCAACTACTGGTTACAGACTCGATGCCTCTAAAGTCTTGTTCTAGAAATGCTTATATTGCGTTAATCACTTTTTACCATTTTTTGTTTCTCCTACACTCACAAAAGAGTAGATGAAAGAAAAGTCTGTAAATAAACTAATCACATACTTCTTAATTTTCCCAGTATTTTTGTCAACTACATGCCATCATCACTGATCAAATTTTTAATAATTTCAACAACTTGCACATGCTAGGTTCCCTTTAAACTTTAAGGGAAGACTTGGCAGTTTACTTCTTCCCATGTCAAGAGGCTGCAGCAAAACATGTGCTGTTACATTTTCATCAGAATTCTTTCATTTTTACAGGGATTTTTTTGCAGTGGAGTATAGAATAAGTCAAGTAATCACTCAAGGTATGTATTCTGTAAGACTTCTTTAAAAAGGGGGTTTAAAAAAGAAATTAAAACTTGAGCTTCACGCACAGAAGACAAACTTGTAAGCTTACAAGTTCATCCAAAGAGATGCGCTACCTATGCATGCACAACTATGCTCATGAGAACCCCAGTTCTGCCAGTGTAAATAGCATTTACTTATCGAATTTATACATGCTGTCCATCATATTGCCCTAAACATGGACACAATTATTTTCTGAACCAAGTTTTTCCTTCAACGATTATGGACCATGGAAGCTTTATTAATAGTCAACAAAATTCAAAGGCTTTGAAGTCCATGCTAAAAACTCCAAAGCTAGAAAACTGACTGTATTAATTCAGCCTTTGCTGAAGTATATTGCCCTTGTAATGTTATTTCAAATAGAAAACTCAAGGGGAGGATTAATTTAACAGCACCAGTTACAACAAAAGTGTCATAAACACGTGGTAAAGTATAGTTATAACTTCAGCACTCATGAAACACACCAGATAAGCAAGAAGCTGAGTTCTTTAAAAATAACACAAGTTGGGCCCTTGGGCAAATGCTGATTATGCCAAACAAGACCAGGCCTTACTGCACTAACTTTGTAAGAATCGATCATAACTGTAGTTTGGCAGTGATAGAGAGATGAGTGAAATGGCTTAGAGTGACTTGTAGTGGGTACTTTGAATAGAGTATTAAGGGAGAAATTAAAGGGTACTTTGAATAGAGTATTAAAGGAAATTAAGTTTGAGTTATGCAAACAAAGCAAAGATAACGAGATATATTATCTCTCTCCCACAGACAGAAACACAGCATTACTTGTCCAGCGGCGCACAACATCAGAACCGAGAACCTACAGCCTATCCTCACTTGTAGCCTATCGACATTACACTACAACACAACGATGAAAATGATGGGATCACGCTGGCTTTTTTGTTGCAGTCAGCCATGGTTTGGAGCTGTAGCAATAGAGATTGAGCCAAAATACAGTTGCAACTCAAGAAATTACTGAGATTTAGTACTGTCAGCTGGGTTACTGAAGATTTTTCTAAAAAAAACCCCAAAACCACAAAAACCACAAAAACCCCAATGCAGCTTTCAATCTTCTACACCATTTTATCATCAGTTGCAGAATGAACATTACTCCAGAAAGGAAAAGAAGAACATATTCCTTCTCGCCTCCAAACACAGGCAGCAAATGAAGACACAAGCACAGTCACTTGCAAACTCCCTGCAACAGTTTATGACGTTCTGGCCCACTCCATTTCCACGGGTGTCTGCTTTCCCGTCCGCAGCATCATCAGAAGCAAACTGTGTGCCCACACCCTCACCCATTCCCATTGCTTCCACCAGCAATTTCGGCTAAACCACCTCAGTGCAAAATCACCAAACAATACAGAATGTGCCTCCAATTCACTGCACTGGCTGAGCTGTGGGGAATCAACCTCTCAATAGGAGCAGTAAAAACCAGTTGCCTACAGTAATAATATTACAGTAAATTCAGACAGACTGTTTTTCCTCTCTTAAAAATCAGACTGTAGGCCAAATTAAATATACACTGAGCAGCACATTCTTTAAAAGAGAGAATGTATTTTATTTTCCAATTAAAGCAAATTTTTCAAAAAAGTTAAGAGGGATTCAAATATATCAATATTTTTTGAAACAAAGATATTTCTGGATATGCAGACTTATTACTAGGGATTACAGTTATGCTAAAGAGTGTATTTTAACAAAGCAATACAGTGCAGATGAGTAGGTCTATATTAAGCAAGATTCTAGACAGCTGAACACTGCATCCATCATTAAATCTCTAAACACAATAGTACAAAAGTAGTACTAAACTTTATTTCTAAACAGAATCCATGCACTGCACACAGGAATTAATTTCAGCGTTTGCAAAATATTGTGAATTCAAAGGTTAGGAACATATTTCATTAATTTAGTTGTTAAAACCATTTTGTTATAGTCAAGCCACTGAGAAAAAGTGCAGTTTTCTGTAAAAAAATAGCAACATAAGTAACCGCGTTTTGTCCACATACATTTAATTATTATGTAAACAGGATGAGAAAAAGGTGCATCTGAAATACTGCCACGTTTACTAAAGTCATAATGGTTTCTCATCAGAAAGAGAAAGCAATCTGGCTCGTACACTCCTACACCGTTTTTGCCCTCTGTGCTCTTCAGAGTGGCAGATCTTGCTGTACAATTATAAATTTAGTTAAAACAAAATATGCCTACAAGCCAAAAATATTTTTTACTGCAATAAAACGGAATTGCTAGACACATCTTTGATGTTATAACTTGCTAATGACAAAACTACAAAAACCTGGGGCTTTTAATACCATTTTAAGTCTCATGAAACTCATTACT